GGAAGAAAGAGGGAGGGAGAGAAAAATATACGAAAGTACGTTACACCATCGCGATAGAAGAGAGGCCTTCAGCGTAAATGCTTAGAGTATTTATTACGCTCGTATCTTGCAGCTTCATCGCGATAACGCTAAAATAAACTCACCTCGAGTACGCGAGTGCGTACGAGCCATTTTTAAGGACGCGACACTTTAACGCGCGAATGAGTCTGATTTCATTAACGTACTGGATACGTAGGTAATAGTATTTATCCGTGAGATTAGATCACACAATGTCAGGGTGCCTGTTTTAATTATAAAGCATCTGAAGATCGTTACATCGGCACTTGATCCGCGAGTAATTTGTAACGTGCACTTTTGTCGACGCGCTGTCCCAACTGACTACTTTTTTATTGACTTTCGAGACAGACTAAAGCATCCTCGAAATGAAAAGGGACAAGAGATCTTGTCTCTGACTTGACTTCGAGTGCTCGGCCGACTCCGAAATACGAGATCGTGCACAGTGTCGATGTATCGCAATTTCGAAGACGAAGATCGTCGGTCGGGGCGGATTCTCGTTGGAGTGTCAGCACGAACGGCGACATTTCACGTCGAGGCAATTTCACGCATTACTTTTTTTAACTTCTAACACGCTGATCAGTCCGATCTCGGCTGGTGAGCGGGGTTAATCTGAAAGTTTTATCTCTTCGAGTATTTCATCCTGACCTTTAATTTTATGTTCACGCCACTAAAGGTTAAGCGACTTGACACGCGGTTCGGATAAAATCCATGCGCGAGACGGTTTTTCCTTTTTCCTACTTTTTCTAGCGCTTTTTATCTCTAAAATCCATCGTTATTACTAATGGCCATATGTTAGCGACAGTTCGCGGGATGCAGGAGTATACGCGTCGATAATCACGTGCATGGTTTATCTTATCATACTCGTACTCTCGGCGTCTGGAACACCGAGAACGCTTTCAAATCTGATTTATGGTGATGATTACTCTTTCTCCCTCTTAAACTACTCGATAAAACCCCTTTCCCTTTGCCCTCGCGCCTCTGAATTTTATCGAAAATGTATAATCGATAATTCGCGGGGCGGAATTTGCACGGTGATTCATATGTCGACGATGATGCATACGATATTTCATGCATAATGCGGCCGCTCCGAGCGTTATAAATCGGAATGCCACGCGAACAGTATTTTTTTCCCTTCTCTGTCGCGCGTACGCGACACGCGTGTGTAAAATTGTCCCACATTAAACTGCTTGTCTGCCCGTTGCCCGTATTAATTGATTTCGCGAGGTCGCCGGTCGATTTGCCTCATTAGAGACCCCGTATTTGCGCCAGCTGCACCTGCGCTCAACGTCGGCGGCGCGGCTCCCGCGAATTAATCGACTTTGCAGCCACCGTTCCGCTCCTTTCCGTACCGAAAAAGTTTTTCCTCGCGCGCCCTCCGCGATCTTTAATTATACATTCAGAAGAGATCTCATTACGTGGTGTCGCGAAGAAGATGATTAATTGGGCGACGACCGGCGTAGGTGCATACATTACAGCCGAGCGTTATAGCCGTTACATCGATTGCACTTCGCGCAAACGCACACGAGGGGTGCAAGTAGCTGGAGACAAATATAGGCGTATAACGGCGAGTATACACGTCTGGAACAAGGAAGAGAGAGAGAGAGAGAGAGATCCGGCACAGGCGTATTTTCAACCCTCTCCGAGCAGAATGCGAATCCATTTGGCGCGTCCGCAGACACGCTGTGCTTCACGACGAAATAATAATCGGCGGACGCTATATAAGGCGGCTGCAACGGCGCCCGTTCGCCACCGGTAGCTACGTGAGGTGAGAATATTCTCCCGAGATCGTGTCCGGAGAGAGCCGGGGAACATTCTCCGGGAAATATCTTGGAAACATCGCCACTGAAAATATTTTCCGCGAGAACGTGCGAATAATTTCGAGAGAATATTCTCCCAAACACCGTGGCAAATTGTGTCATGGAGGGTGATAGAATGGGATAGAGGTCGAGTGAAGGGTCGCCGGTCGCTTCATTTATACAGAAGGGCCGAGACGAGAGGGGCGTCGCGCGGCGGTAGTTTAAGGGGAAATATACGCCGGTCATCTGAGAAGCTACGACGCCTTGATAAGGCGCGATAAGATATCGTACTTACGCGTCTCGCGTAAATATTGCCTCTAATACGTGGCCTCGCTATAAATAACGACCGCCGTATAATGCGCTCCCGGTTTTTCTACGCTCCTCGTTTACCTCTCCTCACGCCTGCCAGTTGCTATCGTCCTGCATCCGTTTCCACGGCGGCGCGACGTCGTCGTCGATACCGTCATCGTCACCGAAGGAAACTGCAGGATGAAAAGTAAGCGGCATAACACCTATACCTATATACGCGTGTCTCACAGCACGTATACAAAGACTCGCGCTTTCGCGCACAGACGAACACCAGAAAAGGGCTCAGTCTCTGTGTTGTGAAAAAGAGGGAGAGAAAAAGAGAGAGAGAGAGAGAGGACGAGCGTATGCGTGTGCATGACACAATACCACGGTCTTGCCACGTATTCATACGCCGGGCGTCCATTGTCTCGAGTTGTTCGAAGGTAAAAGATCGCAACTGAAGCGTTAAAGCTGACGTCATTGTTTCACTTTTCTTTCCTCGCATGCAGCCGCCTACACGTGCGCGTTCATGACATACCGGGGCGCATCATCCTCGTGCCGGCGTGAGCGCGCGCGCATGCCGGTTACGTATCGGCGGCCTGAGTTATCAATTCCGCGCAATATAACTTTGATACCGCTTTGTTTGACTTTACGCTTATACGCGTTTTACATATACGCATTTTTACGTCATTTTTCACGGCGATCGGGTGTATCCGGTGTCGAAGAATCCGACGCCACACGACTGTCTGTTGTAAACACGCTCCGTCGAGATTAATGCAATTAACGAATATCGACGCGCGATCTCTTTCCCTCTCTTTCCCTGTCTATCTCTCTTTTCTCTAACGTTGTACACACGCATCGGCGTTTCGTGCGCATTTCAACATACGTCTTTAAAGCCGATTTAATATCGGCGTTTTTCCGCGATCTTGCATATCGGATTTCAATCGCGACTGGCCGGCTGCCAAGACTTAGACGCAAACAGCGCGTTACACGAATCCAATTATTTTTAAGTGAATGAAAGCAATTAATTCGTCAAGGAGCAAATTTAGTGAGAGGGGGACAACATGAAGGGGAGAAGGAGTTGCGCACTCCTGCAACCTGTAAGCGACCGCACTCCCGACCCTTTCTTGTTCCGCAGCGAGTTACGGGCGAGGGCGGATGTAATGGTCGACTCACCTGTCGCGTTCTACGTCGCCCGTGGCGTTCCCCGGCCGCTGTTTGCGCGACACCGGCGTTAACTCATTCCTGCGGCCGACAATTTTATAACAACGACGAGAATATTCCGGCCGCAGACTCCCTTAATTAATCGCGCGATGTGAGCGCGCGCGCAAAATAGAAAGGCGTGTCTGTCGACCAGGGAAAATACCTCGGCCGCGAGCGGAGAAAAAGTCCTCTATGAACGTCCTGCGGATACACGGCTGACCCGCTCCGGCTTGTCGGTTGCAGCCCCCCAATCCGTTCCGTTACACATGCAACCCGCCGCCGTTGCGCCTGCGGCGGATGCCGGCTCTCCTTGTGCCGGCCGGATTAATCCTAAGGGCGGTCATTCATTCGTGCAGGCTCCTGGCATTTATTAGCACAGGTCAATGCTTCAAATCGCCGCGCTGACGCGGTCCCCCGCTTACACACGCTCATGTACGCGCGTTCTTATAAAGACGAGGTCGTTCCGTGACCTTTCCGCAGAGGCGACTATTAAAAAAAGAAAAAAGTAAAGGCACTGTCAAACTCCAGCGTGCCGCAAAGACGCGAAATATTTTATTTATCTGTACCCGCGGGCACCCGGGTATACAATATTTGTGAAGTGACCTTTCGTAAGGGAATCGAAGGCAAACCTGATAACGCTACAAAGGAGCCACTATATCGTGCATGCGTGCGTGCGTGCGTGCATGGACGCATAAATTCTCCTCGACGAAAATTCAATTTGAAAGTTCAGACTCGTGCATGGCACGTGTCATCGCGTTAATTATCGGCACGCGCGTCGCGCTCTGATGATTTTATGTCGCTTCACCAGCCCGCCCGAATTTTATTAAACTTAATCGCGTAACAGATCGCGGCGATTATACGTAGTTCGATAATTCGCGTTAAAATGCCGGTAGGTGCGATGTTCACGTAATGATCGCTGCCGGTGCGCGTCCGCGGCAAACAGCTCCGTGCGAAGGAACTAATTAGCAGTAAACCACAGCCGCGGGTTCACGGTCGTTTGGCTCTGCGCGTTTTGCAGGTGCCGCGATTCCTAAGATCAGGCTCAGGTTGCTCGAGCGCGAGTACCAAAATCTGGACACGAGTGTCATCGTTCCGCGAAGTAAATCCCACGATCTGTATGGAAATTTTCCAAATATTCTCAAGTATAGCATAAATTCTGGTCGGATTGCCCAAACTTATCTCAAATAAATGTAACATATGCGATATCAAAAAAAGTGCCGTGCTTATCCGAATTACAAGAAAACTTTTGGAAAATGTTGGGCAGAACAAACAAAATTTGTCTAGGTCTCCCATTTAGAATCGTAACTTTATTTAGTTGATTAATGGATCCCATAAAATTTTCCGTATGGAAAATCAGATAGATCCCATTTTCCTTGCCCAGAGTTTCCCAGATATTTTGTTAAACATAAATATAAAACAGAAATCTAAAGAAAGGAAACTTTGGGCAAACGTTGAACGGGGAAAATGGAATCTGTCCGGGTTTCCCACTTAGAATCGCACTTTTGTAACATTGCACCTCTAATCCGAGTCTTCACAGATTTCCCAATCAGAATCCATCATTTTTTTGGAAGATCGAAATAGATCCCAATCAGATCCCGGAAATTGTTCTACGCTGGACCCTTTCGATGCGCCTTTTCCTTGTGCTTTCTGTTACAGTGAAGAAGGCGCGGTTCGTCTGCCAAGATGGTTCGTATTAGCAGAATGCAGAAAGAGGGCGGAATCGCCTCGACGAACGATCACCCGCTGGCTCTCGAGCTCACATGAGCGAGATATCAAGGCGCGTGACGGCCGAGACTCGACGTCGCGCGGGCGAGACGAGACCGCGGAATCGCGGTCTTTGCTCACGCTTCGCTTCGAAAGCCCGCGGACAATTTATTTCACTCCGATTGGAACAGTTCCAGCTTGCGGATTATGCGATTCCTCAAGCGGAATGTCGTGACGTCGTCCGTTTATGCCGAAATAATTTTTCCGCGCGGCGAAGTAAAGGATTCTCGCGGGGGATCCTCCGCCTTCATAAACCGCCGTGCCGATAAATTTCGCCGGGGACGGGTGTGCCCGTACGATTCCGGAAAATTATTGCGATTCTTCGGCGAATTTTTCCGATAGAGCGAGAACGATCGTGACGGCCACGCTCGAGCAGCTCCCGTAATTGATATCACGCGTCACTGATTAGCCTGCCCCCCGCGTTACATTCAGCAATGTGCTTCTCGCGCGATGACAAACGTAACCTTGACAGTCCTCGCTTGAACGTTTATATTATGCACTTTTAATATTCCGCCGCACGTGACGCGTACGCCATTGTACGGCCGCGGACTTATGAAGACCATTATTTCGCAGATTGAAGCTCAACGATAGCGTCCGCGCACATTCACGCGAGCGTGTAAATGTATCCGCCGTATTCATGAATTTATTTACTCGATACCCCGGCCGGTGGTGTATTCATACGGATGACTCTTCTCGTGGTTAAATTTAGCCCCCGCGCAAGTGGCTTTTTGCGCACGACGATGGCCCTTTGCGTGCCGTACGCGTAAAAACTCGCTCTCCTCTAAACGAGTGAGTCGCCACACGCGTTCGATCCGTTCCATTTTTGGCAGTGCCCCCTCGTGGTCGCGGGAAGCCACGCGTTACTTTTTCACGATTCGTTTAGCTCCGTTTACGACGTCAATTTTTTTATTAATAGCCCTGCCGCTTCTCTCCAAGTCTCGGACGCCGGTGAAGTTTCGCGCGGACACACGGTTGCACACCAGCCGGGGACAATTTCGGGGGTGCCGTGTCGAGCGAAATGTCGGGGGTCACGCACCGTGCCCGAAACACCCCGCGGATCGTAAAATCTCGCCCCCGCTTTTTGCGCGGACTTATCGAAGCCGCGCAGCTGAGAACGCGGTACGGCACGGCGGCGTCGTCGTCGTCGGGGCTGTGGGCGGAGAAACTTATTGGAACTTAACGGTACGTCCTTGTGCACTCGTTCTCGGCCACATAAAATAGAAACTCGGCGAGGGTGCCATCGGGATCGCTCTTAAATCGTGAATGGAACGGCGCGCTCGCTAATATCGCGCGCGTTTACGGCTGAGTAAAAACGCGACGGTCGGACGAAACGCGATTCACCTGTTTCGCGAGACCCGATCAAGAATAACGATAAATATTACGTGCGTTCTGCGTTGATAGAGACACTAAAACACGCCTGGGATTGTTTAATCGCTCGGCGCATTTCGTTCGTGTCTCGAGAGCGGGTGGCGTGATCGCTGACGTTGCCGGCTAACGCACGGATTTCCCGTACGCGATTTCAGCGGAACAATTCAACTCCTACGTGACGTTGAAGCTGCAAAACGTGAAATCGACGACAGTCACCGTGAAAGGGGCCAATCCATGCTGGGAGCAAGACTTCCTCTTGTAAGTTATCGCCAACCTATTACCGTCCAAACGCTCATTAAGCGCGATTCACGCGCGCGCGCGCGCGCCGAAAGAACTTATCGAGAGCGTTAGCGTAGTTGAGCGTGTTTGCGAAACAATTCGGAAACTGCTCGCGCGGTTATTATTACGGCGTGTTACACACACACCCCGCTGGCATCGCGAACTATCGCGTGCACGCCGGCACTAAAGTATCTAGGACGGCCGGTAATTTGTGCGCATCCAGAAGGGGGAAGGGGCAATCCGAGATTAATCATACTCTTATTTAACGGGACTCCGACTCGTGGCGCGGGACGGAATAAATCCTCGCCGCCTCCGTCGCGTCGCTCGGTCGGTCGGTCCGCGAATTTTCCGAGAGCGTAGCCGAGATCCGCGAAAATTCCCCGATGCTGAATCCGTCCGCGACGGAGAAATACGAACGCTGCTTTTTCACGACGGCCGTTTCAGCCGTTTACCCTTGACTTGTAACAAACTCCTGGCCGTTTAAGACGAGATCTCCCGAGTCCGTCGTAGTAATCGTTTTTTCGCGTACGTAAGTTGTTAAATGGGTTACCATAAAGAGACCGACTCCGCCCCCTTGGCGCAATGTTGACCGTTTGCGATGCAAGAAGACGCATTGTTCTTGATCTTGGCTCGCTCGTTCGTACAGTCTTTCTCTCTCTCTCTCTCTCTCTCTCTCTTTTTCTCGAAACAACGACGTTCGGCGCCAGCGAGAGCGCCATTGTTCATGGTTGCTAAGTTCCGAAGCTCCGCGACCCGACTCCGACCAAGCGAGGTCTCTGTATAAAAGCGCGGACCGGTTCAACCCCGCGATGTAACAACATTTTTCCGCCGTGGACCTGCAAGAATTAATGGAACTTGTTTGTTACGCAGCGAGACGAATGACATGAACGCCGGGCTCTTGGTGGAGGTATGGTGCAAGGGATTCTTGTGGGACCGCTTCCTGGGCTGCTACTATATCCCGCTGTCAGAGGTGTCCTATATGAACGAGGTAACGAGAAATCAGTGCAACTTAAGTCGTACCGAGGTACAGCAACAAGCCGAATCACACACATCGTCCGACATGCGTGACACCAACAGCAATACACAGCAAGATGTCACCGACACGGTACACACTAAACTCTCGTACATTCGCTATACACCGCAATATAATTCGACACCCCGCTCGCTTGGATTCGCGCGATCGAAAAATTTGGCGATATCGCTGATTTTGTTCAGTTTTCTGTCCCTCTCTATCTCTCTCTCTCTCTCTCCCTCTCTCTCTCTTTTTCTCTCTCTCTCTCTCTATCATATTCTCTTTTTCTATCGCGGCAGCAACAAGTATCTGCTCTTTCGGTCCGCGATAACTCGACACAACCGTCCGAGGCCTGTCTCTCATTTCACATTGCAGTTTATTTCCCGTCGTAAAGACGCGAAGGCCGGCCATTTTAAAGGAACACCGACGTACACCGATAACAATCTGTGAACAATTCTTAAGCACTCTGTGCACGTAACGATGAGCTATATCTCCCCTTCTCTCTCTCTCTCTCTCTCTCGTTTCTTCTTCCTGTTTCCTGGTCACCCTTCTCGTCGCTATCCTCCTGCCTCTTTTTAGCGGCCAGAACGGCTTCGAACGTGAAATGAAATTCGACGATTGTTTGCGAGTCGAACGAACCGAAACCAATTACCGGCTGGCACGCTACCGATGGATGCCCAGGTTTTCGGTTTTTGGCGCGGAATAACCGGATGATTCGCGCCACGCACGTCGTTTTTCGCTAATGCCCGCCGTAATAGTCCTTCGTTATGACGGCGAATCCCGCGCGAATTTCTCTATCTCTCTCCCTCTCCTATTCGCTCTTTCTTTTTTTCACACGACGCGCTACGAATCCAGAAAGCGAGCCGGGCTACAAAGGGGGAACGTGACGCAATCAATCGACGTCACGTTCGATACAAGAGCAATTCGACCGGTGTATTATGTCGCGCACGTGCGAATCGAATCTGCGAGGGTGACGCAACAGTGACCGTTTTACACTGACGTTTCGGCTAATTTACCATGCCTTTTCGCGAACCTCGTTCGCCATGAAGTGTGAGAAATACCCCGTGCTCGAAGAGTTAACATTCGCGTAATTTACGTGAGCTGACGTGAGCAAACGGCACATAGTCGCAGTTGATACGACGATTTACATTATTCTCTCTCTCTCTCTCTCTCTCTGTATATGTACATGCACGAGCCGCGCTGCGTTCATAATTAGTGTTAGATATTAATAGCGGTTCTGGGACCTAATTTCTCTTATCGCTGTGCTACCATCGGGTATGCTCTTAGGCTTTCGAAATGCAAGTTACCGGAAGTTGGGAATGTCGATTCGCCGCGTAGCGCAAATTACACCCCACTTGGAAACTCATACGACAAATTGATGCGCTCGGATAGGTCGTCTCCGCTCCGTCTTGCGAGTGAAAGGTTGACAGACACGAGCGCGATTAAGGTCCATCTTCTGCCCGCCGAGCACTATGGACTCTCGCACGGCACGCTTTTCGGGGTCGTCGAACCTCACAGATTTCATTCTCGAGAATTTCGCATCTCCGGAATCGGCTCCTTTGTCTTTCTTTCATTCTGTCTTCATTTGCGAGGCGCACTCCGCTGCACTTCTGCACGGCGACAAAAGTGAATTTTCGCTAATTAAATTGCTCGAATGTTTTATCGCGAAGCTATGGAGGAGGAAATTGGGGGGGG